GGAATGCGGGTTCAATGGTAAACGACTTTGGGCTTCCGGGATTAGGAGACCCCCCCCCCCCCCCCCCGCCCCAAGTTTATTCCAGGGAACGGTGCCAGTTGGCTGAAACGAAAAGCGAGGCGGGAAGCGATATCGATAGGAGGATTGATTGTAGATAGTAGAGGCTACAGGGAAACATTTTAGAGCCACCTTTCTTTTTATATTTGGCAAACAAAGTAATTTAGGAAGGAACGATTGGCATTTGGCGATTGGTCCTGGGGAAGCAATGCCGCCCCGTCTTCTCGAGGACGCGTGTGGTCAATGGTCTATGACAAGAATGAGGAATGCAAAAGACGAGAACGCCCACCCCCCCCCCGCCACGTCTTGCCCCCATCGACTTTCAGCTTCGGCTGGCAGACGAGCAGAAAAACAGGCAGCAGCAGAGAGACAGAGAAAGATCCTCACAACAGTAGTGTACTGTAGCAAGAACGTCAATCAGGGGTACAGTTTGGGGGCGGGCGAACCTCTATTATTTCTTGCGTTCAGCCGAGAGCCGTTGCACCGACTCTTGTCGCCATTCCGGCAGAGTAAGCTCTTCAACGGCCTTACCTACTTTGCAAACTTTCTGTTTGCCACACAGCAGTCTAAGCTGTATACCATAACGTAGTCTAGCCCTGATACAACACACATCAGCAGCGCTGACTGCGAAAAACCCCACCCCAAAGCCGAGACACCAACAGATCACGCCGACTCCTACCACCCGTCGTTTCGTGAAGTAAAAAAAAAACGTTTCCCGTGTCAAACGCTGAGGGCTAGGGAGACATGGCTACAGTAGTACCCCTGCCACACTCACTCCCTTATCTTGCAGTACCAGAAGCGAGAGCAAGTGTCGCAGTGTCCCCACTCCACACCCAACTACAAAATACAACGCACAAGAAGGGCACGTGCATTCGTTCGATCAGCCGGTTAGCGCGGCGGTCGACTCTAAGAAAAAGGGACACTCACACTCAATCCTGACAACAACAACACACACACGTAGGGCTGGGCATACAACGCAACGAGTTGCACAAAACGTTCGGAGGCTTCTCCCTGCCTACAGACTCTAATTATTGGTTTTCTCACCACGCCTCTATTCCCTTTTTCTTAGGGGGGGGGGAGGCATCGATCGCTACGATCGCTACGATGATTCTCCTATTGGCTAGGCTGGGCCGCCTTTCTTTACACTAGCTCCCACTTTCGTACGACCGACCCTTCCCAAAGACAAAACAACGGCGCGTCTCAATTCGGGGGGGGGGGGGGGGGGTACCCTTTTGTTTTGCCCCCCCCAACGGTTAAAATATTGACCCCGGGCCCCCCAAAGGAAGGAACATTTTTCCCCCAGGACCCAACCCCAAACCAATGGGCAAACCTTCCTTCCTACTTTGCCAAAGGGGGGTCAAAATTTTCAAACAAATCAACATCCCTTTCCCCCGTTTCAAGCCCCTTCCTATGCCCCGGGAAGGGGGGGGGGGGGGTTTCCCAAATCCGGG